ACAGACACGCGCATGATACTTTTTCTAATTTGGCTAGTCTGTCTCCCTCTCTCACTCTCTCTCTCTCTCTCTCTCTCTCTCTCTCTCTCTCTCTCTCTCCCTCCCTCCCTCTCCCTCTCTCTCTCTCAGAATTACCCTCGGAATTACATTCAAGGTATTCTTGCGTTTTTTAGTCGAGTTTAATTAAATATATTTCACTTTCAATTATGCCTGTTGCTCTTGTTACGCTCTCAAATTCTTTTCGAGTCTACAAAATATCAGTTCTCACGATAATTTAATCTAATCGTGAATTGACAAGTGATATTTCTTCAAAAATAATCAAACTTGAAGAAATATTTATTTTTGAAGAAATATCACTTGTCAATTCACGATTAAATTAAATTATCGTGAGAACTGATATTTTGTAGACTTTCTTCAAACTTGAAGAAATATCGATTACGTGATGCGATAACAAGATGCTTATTCGGTTATAAAATTTTGTTCTAATTCTGTTCGACTTAAATAAACGTTCATTCCAGAGTTGTACGCGTTGTACACTAGGAATCACTGATGTGACACTAGGAATCACCCTTCCACGTGAATTTGCGCTCATATCAACCCACTTATACATTTTGCATATACATACATGAAAAAATGTACGTGTGTTCTACACGTACCTAAATTCATATAGTGTACATCTTGCTATCCTAATCAATGGGCGACGCTCAGATTGACGCAACTCGGAACATTTCATTTACGTTTCTTCGGTGACATGAACGATTGTCGAGAGAGGCGTGCTTATAAATATTGATGAAGAGTCGTGCAATTTTCACGCGGCAGCGCCTCTGCTCAAGGCGCCCCGACCCGCGAGCGAAAGCAGCTCGACTTCACGGTCTGCATATGGTCGAGAGGAGAACTTTTACTCACGATCGCGCCGTACGGCAAACGGCGTGAAATTTGCTCAATCTATCGTAGACGATGCTCTTCCAGGCGGTTGTCGTGCTAACGCGCGGAATCTCGCCACCTCAGACTGTCTCGCGGGATTTCATCGGCGAACTCTTAATTACCAAAATTGTCGGTACCTCGAGATAGGAGCGATTTGACAAATTGTCGGCATTAGCGGACGTTGGCGAAACAAAAGAAATTGCCTTCAACGAACCGTCGTAACTCCGACGTTGGCTCGTCACTTGATTTGAGGAAAGTTAGAGAAATCGGCGATTAGTATCGCGGGCACAGTAACGATACTGCACGCTGAGCGACGTCGAACCTCCTCGGGTGCGCCCAGAATCGACTTCCGGTCGCGTGTGGCCGTGCCGAAAAGCGACGGCTACGCGAGCTCGTCGAAAGACGTGACGGATGCGCGCATTCTTTTCGGTTTTGGCCAAATTCCAGGAGGAACTTTCCACCGCGGTGTCGCGCCTGGAATCCAAAGCAGCACGTCCCGATCGAGTCGTCGTCCTCCTTCGTTTATTGCAACGGAGACAGTTGTCTGACGCATATTTAATCCGCGATGCGCGGAACGCGCCCTCCTTCCCGCCCCCCCCCCCCCTCTCCCCACCGATACTGTCGAAAGGACGAGAGCGGCAAGTTTCTCTTCTGATTACGCACTTTGCCCGAATAGTTTTTGGAGTTGTAACCGATCGAAGAGAAAAAGAGGCAGGTATACGCCCGATTACGCTTAAGAGCGCAAGGAGATGGCGAAAACTCTGCGAGCAAAAAGAGTGGCAAGCCCCGTTCGAGGCCGGGGATTAAGAATTAATCCAAAGTTTAATTTAAAGGGCTGATTCTTGATGCTTATCGTTACAACGTTCGGCTCGCACGCGCGAGGATACAATGAGAAAACCATATTGTAACTTATATAAATTTCACGAGATCGCTTCCGTATACTTTCGCGGATTATTAGGTTTAATTTTAAGACTCTACCAAATGATATAACACGAAATCCGCGCGTTTTCGCTCCGCGCTTCATATCGTATATAGATAATCGCGCGATGGCCGACTTTTACTACGCGGATCTTCGGATCGCCTGCGCTAATATCCATTCGGGAACATGCGTATTGTTATTTCAGGAGCTTGTCAACAACACCTCGCGAGAAGAGCTGCAGCCCATAAGCACGTACTACATCGATGGCCAGGGGAAAGCGGTGCGGCCCATGCTCACCATACTCATGGCGCGTACTATTAATTATCACAAGGGAAGGAAGTAAGTGGGGACGCGTTTCTACAAACATTTTTGAAATTTATCTGAAGAAATCTCGACGAACGTTATAAATTGCACGTCCGAGGCTATAGAAATCTAATAAAATGCAAAGACGCGATTCTCTGCTATTTCTCTCGAGTCGGACGAACATTAAATTGTTTAGAAAGGAAAGGCCAGGGATTGGTAGGAGGCGATGTATCCGCGTAATTAAAAACCGAGAGAGGAAACAAAGTGGAAAAATATGAATCTGCTACTATCTCGTGCTAGATACGGTCGGCTTCTGTTCGAGCGCGTGGACCATAGAGTCGATTTCTTAGCTGCGATTTTGGGAAAAGTGCGCCAGGAATTTTGTGATTGTGAGGACCGCGCGTGAGAGAGTCGACTTTTTTTTTTTTATTAACGCTACGCGCGCCACGGTGAATCTCCGCGCGTATGAAAACGTATGCTCACGACGTTTAGAAAGCATTAAAAGTGTCGACAAAGTGGTACGTTAGAGATATCTATGAAAGTGGCGGCCGTGTCTCGTATGTACGAGCATACCACGTACGAATGCATATGAATGGGGCGGCAACGTGAATGAGAAGCGCGTTAACGCGCGTCGTAACGTACCAGACCGTTTAGACGTGATTCTGTCATGGACAGTACTTTATTATGTATCGATTATTACTTGAGAGACACTTGAGATACCCTCTCCTCCCCCTCTCTCTCCCGCGAGTGAAAGCGAATCAAGTTTACGATTTGTCAAAGTCTATTTTAGAGGCGCGGAAATTACCGGACTGAAACAGATGTTTTATCTGCCGTAAACGGAATCATTTTTTAGGCTCAATTTATTCCGAAGAGAGTAATGTCCGAAGGAACGAACGTTCTGGACGCTACTTTAAGAGGATTTTGAAATTTTTCGGCAAATAAAGATGCATATATACACGGAGAGAATTTTTTTTCTTAAAATCTATCGTAAAAATCATGTGATCGCGAGATAACGTGGCATTTTGAAGAATTTTATGAGTTTTTGAAATTTTACCATACATTTTACTAGCAGAACGTATGGTAAAATTTCAAAAACAACTCTCGTGAAGTTCTTTAAAGTGCCACGTTGTCCCACGATTGCACGATTCCAGGGTAAATTTTGAGAGAAAATTCTGTCCGTGTACTTTTATTCTTAATCCAATAATTTCGATCGCTATAATAAATACGAATCTTATAAATTACAGACGCTTGAGCGATTTAATGTAGACGTTGCTTCGGAAATTATTCAACGGGAAAACTTGATTTGCAAGTTTTTGTCGCCCATGAAAGATATGCATACGATTAAAAGATCGAGGGAAAGAATATGTCACTACTATATTAATTAAATGTAAGATTTACGCATGTTGTCAACCACGATAGATAAACAATTTGTCCTACAACAAGGAGACTTTTTTCAGCGATCTCTTGCATTCGCAACGACAAATAGCGATGATCTCCGAGATGATCCACACCGCTTCTTTATTGCACGACGATGTCATCGACCAATCGGACTTCCGTCGTGGTAAACCATCCGTCAACATCGTTTGGAGCCAAAAGAAGGTAGGGCACATTTTATTTTCCATTTTCCGAAAATGGTCGACGTGGCTCTGTGCACGACACATTTCTCGGAATTGTTTCGTTACGTAAAACATCGAAAGTACGAAATCTAAAAATATATACTTAAATATGTAAAAAGAAGTATATGAGAAATTCTTTCGTATTAAAAAAATCATCGAAAGTGATTATTACGCGACGGTCAGCGACACGACGGCGATGGAAACTCAAACTCTCTCTCTAAAATAGCGAGGGAAGAAGGAGGCTAATGCGATTCATGACCAAAGCACCGGCCTTTGCTTTCTATATTGGGAACCGGAAGCGGATCTCGGTCCGCGCGCGTGTTCGTTGTAAATGTGGAAAATTTGGCGGCACCTCAGCCGCGATAGGGAAATTGATCGGGCATAGTTATTCATGGATACTAAACGATGTAAAACAATTTCGAAAGTGGCTGCTGTTCGCAAGTTAACCTGGCACGCTGAAGTTACATGTATTAGAAATCGACAGTTGGAACGCGACGGTGGGCGCGCGACGCGTGTGACGCGATCGAAAAACTCAGCTCTCAAACGCGCGATTAACATACGACGTACTTTCGCAATCGCTCGAATTTCATTCGCGCTTTTCCATACTGGCCGCGAGACATTTTCTAGAGTTTATTAATTAGCTTTCGATCGGCGTCGCGAATGATCGAGCTGCATTTACTGTCGACATTCATTACACAAGTGCGTATATGCGCTGGTAAGTGAAATGAAAGCGCAATGAAACTGTGCTAGGTCAAGAACGCGCGAAGCTATTGACCAGCGATCGTTCATTTTTCTTTCTCCCTCTTTCCTCTCGTGCACAAGTTCCTTTAACAGAGTTACGATCTCTTTGAGGAACACAGCATTGAATTTTTACATACAATGATTTTTTTTATAGAAAAATTAATACTTTTATATAACCGTGTTTTTTTTTCATTTGTTTGTCCGGCGTGCTAGTGACTTTAGAATTTCAAATTGCTTCAAAATTGCCAATACTTTAAATTCTTGAAGATGTCGGCCATAACATAGAATACGTAGTTATTTAACATATTTATAAATTAACAGAAATTTGCATATAAATACATAAGGAAAGAATTTTCTTTTAAAATTTATCCTGAAAATCGTGTGATCGTGGGACGACATTGTATTTCGAAGAATTTTATGAGAGTTTTTCGAAATTTTACCATACACTTTACTAGTAAAATGTATACTAAGTATAATTACTAGTGAAATGTGTATGAGAAAATTTCCAAAAACTCTCATAAAGTTGTTCAAAATGCCACGTTGTCCCACGATTACATGATGTTCAGGGTAAAGAGTGAGAACAAGTGTCCATAGGCAAATGGCCCCATTTTTTTCGCATTCGATTTGGATCACAAAGTAGGTACCAAAGGTCTCGTCGAGCTGATTACAGATACGTCAGACTCAGAGTGTACCTATTTAACGTTCCAGAGATATCGGGCTCCAAAGGTTCCAGTGCCGAAAAATGGCGTTATGAATGTTTTTGACCGAACCGATTGGTTAGATTGAAAATAAAGGAGCCCCAGATAATAATTCACTTGATCCACCTAAAACTTACTTAGGTTCATAGAAAATGCAGGACGATGTCATTAGCATCGACCATTGGGAAACCTTTTAGTTGACTCCAACTCGGATCCATCAAACAGTGCATCCACTTGGCCAAGAGCCTTTGGCACCTGACCGGTTGTAGATCATTTTGGTAAAGCGATTCAGTACCATTTTGAACATGTCAGTGAAAGAAGAAATGTCTTTTTGTTCGGAACGGTAATGAGTTTTGAAATTGATTTTGGAATTTTTGGAGCCCGATATCTCTGGGACGTTAAATAGGTACACTCTGAGACTGACATATCTGCGATCATCTTGGCGAGACCTTTCGTTTGGTATCTATTTTGTGACCAAAATCGAGTGCGAAAAAAATGGGGTCGATCTTGTTCTCACTCTTTTAAGAGAAAATTCTCTCCGTGCATATATATGTCTGTTTGTATTTTCGATATCTATGAGAATAATAATGCTTTCCTTAACGATATTAATAAATAAGAGAAGTTTAACATGAAAGAAATAATTGACAAAACGCTAAGTTCCCGTGTGAACTTGGTTCGTCTCGATAGATCTTGCAATTAGCGACCAAAAAATGAAATTTGTTTGTACTTTTATTAAATCTTAAAATCAGCATTCTCCGAGTCAAATTTACTTGTTGATCTTCAAGTTTAACGATACAACACTAAATACTTCGTACAGTGTTGCGTAAAAGAACGTAATTACATTCTGTAAACAGTATCGCGCGAAAAGTATTGAAGCTTTACTTCCTATTTTTCCGCTTGGTTGTTTTTTGTACACCGACATTGCAATTTTGTAACGAAACTTGTCGCTTTAATGCCACTAACTCTATGCGTGTTCGTATATTGTAGATACGTGTCGCGCGATAATGCGAATTGTAGTCCTAAGCTGCCGTTGTGAAACGCATTGACAAGCTTCTAACCGCGGGCATTCGCGAGTAAAGGCCAAACTAAACATTTCTAGAACTAAATATTTCCCAGGCACTCCTTAGATTTCACGTAGAACGTAAGTGCCGTGAAAGAGGTACAAGGGCGCGACGAGGTACAGGATACTGTTTTACGATCCCGTAAAGTCAAGGATGTATAAGTCAAGGTGTATAAGAGTAAGTTCCTGCCATTTCTTCGGACAACGTTAAAGGCGAGACGTTGAAATAATACAGCCGTAAGAGACATCGAATCAAGTCAGGCTGAGTAAAAATTAGTAGATGTAAACATACAATGCGACGCGTTGCAATTTGCATGATGGATTCTGATGAATAGCACGTGCAAATATTACGAGGGAGCTTCAAAAGTGTTACAACCTTGACGCGTGATGGAATTAGCGCCGTCCAGAGAAATGGAAAGCCCAACGGTGGCCACGAAAGTTGTTCCGAACGTTTGTTTCCTCGGTGCATCGACTGCGAGAACGGCGCAGCTGTCATGCTGAACCGGCGAATTGTGTAACAGCCTCTCGCATTAACGTACCGCTAATCGTGAGAACGCCTGCTGCAGTATATATAATAATTATCCTCGAGTTACACCTACTAGTAACAGGATTACGTTATGAAGTGGAACTGGGATGTAAGCCACTGATCGACAAGGGACCGTTTCAAAGTGTCCCCCTCCGATTTGGATGAGCTTTGAATATGTTGTTTTCCAGCTAAAAATAAGAGACGCGTATTTTTTTTATACGTGTTTTAGGGGGTGAAGAAAAATCGGTTTTTCTCTTTCGATGCGAATATCCTCTTCAAACTATAAGAAATAGAAAGTTCTTTTTTTCTTTTAAATTAAATGGCTTTAAACTACAAAACGGCGAATATTTTTTAATTTTGCAACATACCCTTCTCCACCTATACAAATTTAAAAAATTTTTAAAACTTTGTGGTCACCGAACAAAAGGTAATTTTATTTTTAAGAATTCAAACATATATGATAAAGTTGCGTTTCGTTTTTTTTTCGCAGGGGTGTTTTACCCCCTAAAAGTGCGTTAGGGCACATATAAAACCATTTTCGAGAAATAATTAAAATCGCCTCTGTATATGCGCTATTTGACTGTCCATGCGACCGAGTCTTCACGCAACATGTTTTTCCTGTAATAAGAGATAACAAATACACTTGGTAATCCTAACGGAAATTTTTGGGAGATATGTATAATCATAATGGAAATTTTTATTGCGCACCGCTTGACTATACCACTTATATATAACATTTCAATTCTGTGCGAAATGACGCACGACCGACGAAACCGGCGAGATGGTCAATGTTAATATTATTACAGACGTCACTTAGGTGAATCGTTTAATCGGATATTTTTACCGAATGCAATGTGCAACATTGCGATACATATTCACAATAAATCAAGAAGTGTGCATGATGCCTTGCATCAAGTGTGGCGTGTCTCGACGATTAGAGATATTTTATTACTTACAATTACTTGTTAGTAATTATTAGCTTTTAAGTTACATTAGTACCAACATGTAACATTCTATATTTCAGTATAAAATATATAGGGTGAGGAAAAAGTATGGAAACCCCTAAAGTTTTCAAAACCATACAACTTTTGTCTCAAACATTTATTTCTAAAATGCATAGTTTTGGAAAACTTTAGGGGTTTTCATACTTTTTCCTCACCCTGTATAAGAACGCCAATGGTGGAACATTGTCGTCAGTAAATTTTATATCTTTATTAAAAAATTCGGTAAAAATATTATCCGATTAAACGATTCACCTGAGTGACGTTTGTAATTTATTGACATTGACCGTCTCGCCGGTTTCGTCGGTCATCACATACTTATCTGATATACTTATCTGATATTGAATACTGACATACTCATCTGATATTGAAATGTTAGATATAATTGGTATAATCTAGCGGTGCGCAATAAAAATTTCCATTATGATTATACATA